AGCACCCACTAGACCATGTACCAGCACCCAATAGACTGGGCCATGTACCAGCACCCAATAGACCATGTACCAGCACCCAATAGACTGGGCCATGTACCAGCACCCAATAGACTGGGCCATGTACCAGCACCCACTAGACTGGGCCATGTACCAGCACCCACTAGACTGGGCCATGTACCAGCACCCAATAGGCCATGTACCAGCACCCAATAGACTGGGCCATGTACCAGCACCCAATAGACTGGGCCATGTACCAGCACCCACTAGACTGGGCCATGTACCAGCACCCATTAGACTGGGCCATGTACCAGCACCCATTAGACTGGGCCATGTACCAGCACCCACTAGACCATGTACCAGCACCCAATAGACTGGGCCATGTACCAGCACCCAATAGACTGGGCCATGTACCAGCACCCAATAGACCGTGTACCAGCACCCAATAGACCATGTACCAGCACCCAATAGACTGGGCCATGTACCAGCACCCAATAGACTGGGCCATGTACCAGCACCCAATAGACTGGGCCATGTACCAGCACCCATTAGACTGGGCCATGTACCAGCACCCAATAGACCATGTACCAGCACCCAATAGACTGGGCCATGTACCAGCACCCAATAGACTGGGCCATGTACCAGCACCCAATAGACTGGGCCATGTACCAGCACCCATTAGACTGGGCCATGTACCAGCACCCATTAGACTGGGCCATGTACCAGCACCCACTAGACCATGTACCAGCACCCAATAGACTGGGCCATGTACCAGCACCCAATAGACTGGGCCATGTACCAGCACCCAATAGACTGGGCCATGTACCAGCACCCATTAGACTGGGCCATGTACCAGCACCCAATAGGCCATGTACCAGCACCCACTAGACCATGTACCAGCACCCAATAGACTGGGCCATGTACCAGCACCCATTAGACTGGGCCATGTACCAGCACCCACTAGACCATGTACCAGCACCCAATAGACTGGGCCATGTACCAGCACCCATTAGACTGGGCCATGTACCAGCACCCACTAGACCATGTACCAGCACCCAATAGACTGGGCCATGTACCAGCACCCAATAGACTGGGCCATGTACCAGCACCCAATAGACTGGTCCATGTACCAGCACCCAATAGACCATGTACCAGCACCCAATAGACTGGGCCATGTACCAGCACCCAATAGACTGGGCCATGTACCAGCACCCATTAGACTGGGCCATGTACCAGCACCCAATAGACCATGTACCAGCACCCAATAGACTGGGCCATGTACCAGCACCCAATAGACCATGTACCAGCACCCAATAGACTGGGCCATGTACCAGCACCCAATAGACTGGGCCATGTACCAGCACCCAATAGACTGGGCCATGTACCAGCACCCAATAGACTGGGCCATGTACCAGCACCCAATAGACTGGGCCATGTACCAGCACCCAATAGACTGGGCCATGTACCAGCACCCAATAGACTGGGCCATGTACCAGCACCCTATAGACTGGGCCATGTACCAGCACCCTATAGACTGAGCCATGTACCAGCACCCAATAGACCATGTACCAGCACCCAATAGACCATGTACCAGCACCCAATAGACTGGGCCATGTACCAGCACCCGATAGACTGGGCCATGTACCAGCACCCTATAGACTGGGCCATGTACCAGCACCCTATAGACTGAGCCATGTACCAGCACCCAATAGACCATGTACCAGCACCCAATAGACTGGGCCATGTACCAGCACCCAATAGACCATGTACCAGCACCCAATAGACTGGGCCATGTACCAGCACCCACTAGACCATGTACAAGCACCCAATAGACTGGGCCATGTACCAGCACCCAACAGACTGAGCAGTGCACCAAACATATACCTGTACCACCTGTAACCATCTGTGGGTTTATTTTCTTGACACCCAACTAGGAATTAAAGGCTTACATTGCTTTGGTTAGTTCACAGTGCCACCCAACTAGTTGTTTAGCTCACACTTGGGTTGGGTTGGTTAGCTCACACTTGGGTTGGGTTGGTTAGCTCACACTTGGGTTGGGTTGGTTAGCTCACACTTGGGTTGGGTTGGTTAGCTCACACTTGGGTTGGGTTGGTTAGCTCACACTTGGGTTGGGTTGGTTAGCTCACACTTGGGTTGGTTAGCTCACACTTGAGTTGGGTTGGTTAGCTCACACTTGGGTTGGGTTGGTTAGCTCACACTTGAGTTGGGTTGGTTAGCTCACACTTGGGTTGGTTAGCTCACACTTGTGTTGGTTAGCTCACACTTGGGTTGGGTTGGTTAGCTCACACTTGGGTTGGTTAGCTCACACTTGAGTTGTGTTGGTTAGCTCACACTTGGGTTGGGTTGGTTAGCTCACACTTGAGTTGGGTTGGTTAGCTCACACTTGGGTTGGTTAGCTCACACTTGTGTTGGTTAGCTCACACTTGGGTTGGGTTGGTTAGCTCACACTTGTGTTGGTTAGCTCACTCTTGGGTTGGGTTGGTTAGCTCACACTTGTGTTGGTTAGCTCACACTTGGGTTGGGTTGGTTAGCTCACACTTGAGTTGGTTAGCTCACACTTGGGTTGGTTAGCTCACACTTGGGTTGGTTAGCTCACACTTGTGTTGGTTAGCTCACACTTGGGTTGGGTTGGTTAGCTCACACTTGGGTTGGGTTGGTTAGCTCACACTTGTGTTGGTTAGCTCACACTTGTGTTGGGTTGGTTAGCTCACACTTGTGTTTGGTTGGTTAGCTCACAAGTGTGTTGTGTTGGTTAGCCCACTTTCAGGTTGTTTATCCCTTACTTGGGTTGGGTAGGATAGCTCACACTTGTGTTTGGTTGGTTAGCTCACACTGGTGCTTGGTTGGTTCGCTCACACATGGGTTGGTTAGCTCACACTTTGGTTGAGCTCCATTCCTCCAACTCTACAACTGGAGCTATTTTCTACTGTTGTAATCTGTGACCTTTTGTTGAACTGACAAACCATACTGCTTGATCTACAGCTACACAGAGTGGTCTAGATTTAAGACATGGGTAGCCACATGCCAGGTAGCACCACACACCAGGTAGCCTCATGACAAGTAGCACCACACACCAGGTAGCCACATGACAAGTAGCACCACACACCATATAGCCACATGACAAGTAGCACCACACACCATATAGCCACATGACAAGTAGCACTACTCTACCACATAGCCACATGACAAGTAGCACCACACACCAGGTAGCCACATGACAAGTAGCACTACTCTACCACATAGCCACATGACAAGTAGCACCACACACCAGGTAGCCACATGACAAGTAGCACCACACACCAGGTAGCCACATGACAAGTAGCACCACACACCAGGTAGCCACATGACAAGTAGCACCACACACCAGGTAGCATCATGCACCACACACCAGGTAGCCACATGACAAGTAGCACCACACACCAGGTGGCCACATGACAAGTAGCACCACACACCAGGTGGCCACATGACAAGTAGCACCACACACCATGTAGCCACATGAAGTAGCACCACACACCAGGTAGCCACATGACAAGTAGCACCACACACCAGGTAGCCACATGACAAGTAGCACCACACACCAGGTAGCCACATGACAAGTAGCACCACACACCAGGTAGCCACATGACAAGTAGCACCACACACCAGGTAGCCACATGACAAGTAGCACCACACACCATGTAGCCACATGACAAGTAGCACCACACACCATATAGCCACATGACAAGTAGCACTACTCTACCACATAGCCACATGACAAGTAGCACCACACACCAGGTAGCCACATGACAAGTAGCACTACTCTACCACATAGCCACATGACAAGTAGCACCACACACCAGGTAGCCACATGACAAGTAGCACCACACACCAGGTAGCCACATGACAAGTAGCACCACACACCAGGTAGCCACATGACAAGTAGCACCACACACCAGGTAGCATCATGCACCACACACCAGGTAGCCACATGACAAGTAGCACCACACACCATGTAGCCACATGACAAGTAGCACCACACACCAGGTAGCCACATGACAAGTAGCACCACACACCAGGTAGCCACATGACAAGTAGCACCACACACCAGGTAGCCACATGACAAGTAGCACCACACACCAGGTAGCCACATGACAAGTAGCACCACACACCAGGTAGCATCATGCACCACACACCAGGTAGCCACATGACAAGTAGCACCACACACCATATAGCCACATGACAAGTAGCACCACACACCATATAGCCACATGACAAGTAGCACCACTCTACCACATAGCCACATGACAAGTAGCACCACACACCATATAGCCACATGACAAGTAGCACCACTCTACCAGATAGCAATCTACCTGATGTTGACTGTTCTACATTTTTTACTCTTGCTAACTATAACTATCACCCCATGTAAGACAAAATGTTAGTTTACTGATTACCTCAAAAAAACTAGATTGGTTTCAATTCCGTTGAAGGAGATATTATCTTAAAGCTTGTTGCATATCTGTAAGCATCTTATTTTATATATACAGATACAAATTACCAACTATATTGTGTATTTAATCTCTTAGCTCAACATAATAACTTTATGTTGGCAACCAGCAACCTTCACATTGCTAGACATGTGTGTAGTTTAGCACATAGGCAAGTGGCAGAAATAAACAAAATTGTTTTGTTATTGTTAGACAGTCAAAAACAAAGTTTAGATGTAGGAAACAAACTTTAATCAAAGAATTCTAGACTCTCTGAAAGCTTGAAATTATATAGCCGGTACTAAACTTAAGCTATGACTGTCCATTAACTTAGAATAACAATAAATTAAAGACAGGTTAATACACTGAACATATGAAAGAAGTAGATAAGTGATACACAAATAAACTTATCAAACATTTTTAAGATGGATCTTCTAAACACTAGTGTGTGGTCTTCATCACATACTGTTAAGTTTTGTCAACACACATAAATGATTGATGTTTTTTTTCCTTTAGATCAGCAAGCCCCTCCTATGGTTTGATGATACTCAATAGGAAAGATCTAAATAACCTTGTTCAACCTTTGACCAACCAGGTTGAATTCCATCTCAATACTCCATTCCTCCTCTTTAAGAAACTCTCAGATGATCTGGAAGATGGTAAGTCATATGTATTGTGCTTTACTGGTGTCATGCAGTGGTGTGCTTTAGTGGTGTCATGCAGTGGTGTGCTTTAGTGGTGTCTTGCAGTGGTGTCATGCAGTGGTGTGCTTTAGTGGTGTGCTTTAGTGGTGTCACGCAGTGGTGTGCTTTAATGGTGTCATGCAGTGGTGTGTGGTGTCATGCAGGGGTGTGCTTTAGTGGTGTCATGCAGTGGTGTGTGATGTCATGCAGTGGTGTGTGGTGTCATGCAGTGGTTTGTGGTGCCAAACATGTAAAGGTGTGGTTGTATTGCTGTGTGCTTTCATGCATGTCATGGTGTGTGGCATCATACATGAAGTCAGTGGTGTCGCTATGTCGGGTGTCGCCCAGTGCAGCACTTCGTGGTGTCATCCCCCTAAATGGTGTCACGCTGTGCTGTCCACACGCTCTGCCCCCTCTTGCTATGCCTCTGCATGAAGTGATGTGTGGTGTCATACATGTCATGATATAGTGTCTGCTTTCATACATGTCATGATGTGGTGTCATACATGAATTGGTGTGTGGTGTCATATATGTCATGGTGTGAGGTGCCATATTTAATGTTCAAAACATGTATTAGACAAGTATAGTATTAAGATGTGACCATTAATTTAAATAGTGTAACTATATATAATTCAAACACAGAGTACTTGCAAATATAAAGTACTGAATAGGTACACAATATATCTTTTATCAAACACACACAATTATTTTTTATTTAAAAAAAAAAAAAGAATATTCATGTGTGTATCAAACAGTATAAAGTGTTGTTAGATGTGGCCATTGTATCCTGTGTTAGCCTGTAGTCTAGTGTAGTAGCACCCAGTAACTTGTGTAGTGCACCCTACAGATGCTAATGTGTGCCAGGCCGCCACTCTTGTAGACCAGGTAGACCTGAGTGGCTTGAATTAACAATACATTTAGTTGCTGTATAGAAGTCACCCGCCTGCCAGATGGTGATCCCTTGTGTTTCAAAGTATTTCACTCTTTCAACAATGAGTTGCTTCTAGCTTGTACACGCTCAGAAGAACAGCTTTCATCCTTGGTCAGTTAAATATTAATCCTGTTAACTACCGTGTCTATTAAAAATACTGTTTTGTCTGCCTATTGTAAATACTACTTGTTGTAGTTACTGATGAAGACATATTTTCCTATTAACCCATTTGTTTAAATGTTTCTCTGTTGTCTATACTTTTTGCCAGTCATATGTTGACCAGCTGAAGGTTTCCCCCAGTTTATCCAGTGTAAAATGATCAAGACTGTTCTAGTGCTAGCTGCTAACATGACATGTTTTCTGCCACTCTAAGCTCTAACCAAGGCAACTTGCCAATGGCACAAAGCTAACAAACAGTTCACACTTGTTTAGAGGTGTTCATTTTTCAAGCTTGCTTTCAATCGTTTTTATATTAAAAATGTTCATTTTTCTTCCACAGCTATTTTAGGCATTTGGTTTGTTGATACTGGAGAATGTATAAGGCTGACTGAAAAAATTCAAAGGTGGGTTTCTTAATGACATATTTTTGTATAAGGCTGACAGAAAAAAATGTAAAGGTTGGTTTCTCAATGACTTCTTTTAGTTTAAGGCTGACAGAAAAAAATGTAAAGGTTGGCTTCTCAATGACTTCTTTTAGTTTAAGGCTGACAGAAAAAATTCAAAGTTTGGTTTTCCCAATGACTTCTTTAATTACATATATTCCTCCTGCTGTTGTTTTCTCCATTTTATAATTGCTGCATTAGCTGAAGTCATTTGATAAAGTCATTTAATGAAGTCATTGCTACATGCTGCAGTAGATTTTTGATAGATCTTACTACAAAATTGTTCAATACTAACCCTGTAACAAATAAGTGTAATCAAATTGTGCTAAAACATCTGTATTGGTGTTTAGAATTCTGCGTGAGGTGTCTGGTCGAGGTGAAGAAAAATGTTCTAACATGGATGGAGTGTCTGCCCGGTGCCTGGAAGGCAAATCTGTTGAAGCTGGTCAAAATATTTTAAGTTTATTAACAAATGCTCAAAAAACATATGATGTAAGTCAAGTGTGTTGTATGAAATATGTACAGTAGGATCAAGCTATTCTTGAAATAATGGAAGAAAAGAACAGTTATTAACTTATTAAGTATGAATGGAAAAGAACTTGAGTGTAGTTCTATCATAAGTGTCGTTTAATTGTAATAGTTTGTCATGGGCTGTCTGTCTTGTGGGCTTTGATCTGCTGGGCTATCTCCCATTGCTCTAGGTTACCTGTGTGGGTTGTATGACAGTCTTATATCTTGTGGGCTTTGATCTGCTGGGCTATCTCCCATTGCTCTAGGTTACCTGTGTGTGTTGTATGACAGTCTTATATCTTGCGGGCTTTGATCTGCTGGGCTATCTCCCCGTGCTCTAGGTTACCTGTGTGTGTTGTATGACAGTCTTATATCTTGCGGGCTTTGATCTGCTGGGCTATCTCCCATTGCTCTAGGTTACCTGTGTGGGTTGTATGACAGTCTTATATCTTGTGGGCTTTGATCTGCTGGGCTATCTCCCATTGCTCTAGGTTACCTGTGTGTGTTGTATGACAGTCTTATATCTTGTGGGCTTTGATCTGCTGGGCTATCTCCCATTGCTCTAGGTTACCTGTGTGTGTTGTATGACAGTCTTATATCTTGTGGGCTTTGATCTGCTGGGCTATCTCCCATTGCCATAGGTTACCTGTGTGTGTGTTGTATGACAGTCTTATATCTTGTGGGCTTTGATCTGCTGGGCTATCTCCCCGTGCTCTAGGTTACCTGTGTGTGTTGTATGACAGTCTTATATCTTGTGGGCTTTGATCTGCTGGGCTATCTCCCATTGCCCTAGGTTACCTGTGTGTGTGTTGTATGACAGTCTTATATCTTGTGGGCTTTGATCTGCTGGGCTATCTCCCCGTGCTCTAGGTTACCTGTGTGTGTTGTATGACAGTCTTATATCTTGTGGGCTTTGATCTGCTGGGCTATCTCCCATTGCCATAGGTTACCTGTGTGTGTTGTATGACAGTCTTATATCTTGTGGGCTTTGATCTGCTGGGCTATCTCCCATTGCTCTAGGTTACCTGTGTGTGTTGTATAACAGTCTTATCAATGCTTGTGATAGGTGATTTATTCCTTGATTGTCTGCAGCAAGAACATGGGGCCACATACGAACAGACAGATCCTAGGCCTATCAAGCATCCTAGTGGTGAGACCTTAATATTTGTTCTTACATTCTCACTACCAGTGGTGATACATTACATTACCCACCACCATTGGTGATACCTTACATTGCCCACAACCAGTCGTGAGAGGTACATTACATTACCCACTACCAGTGCATTCATTGCTTCTCCAGATTTTTATGACTAAGATATTAATGAATCTAATTTTAAAAATAGTGTGTACAATTACATAGATTGACAAAATGTCACATTAGACTGGCCACTTAATAGCAAAATCACATCTTTCTATTTGTAAATTTAACTTGTTTCATGAATAAAGTATACTGCTTTCAATTTAATGGTGTCTAGAAATGTGCTCTGTTGTAATGGTGTCTAGAAATGTGCTCTGTTGTAATGGTGTCTAGAAATGTGCTCTGTTTTAATGGTGTCTAGAAATGTGCTCTGGTGTAATGGTGTCTAGAAATGTGCTCTGTTTTAATGGTGTCTAGAAATGTGCTCTGTTGTAATGGTGTCTAGAAATGTGCTCTGTTGTAATGGTGTCTAGAAATGTGCTCTGTTGTAATGGTGTCTAGAAATGTGCTCAGTTTTAATGGTGTCTAGAAATGTGCTCTGTTGTAATGGTGTCTAGAAATGTGCTCTGTTGTAATGGTGTCTAGAAATGTGCTCTGTTGTAATGGTGTCTAGAAATGTGCTCTGTTTTAATGGTGTCTAGAAATGTGCTCTGGTGTAATGGTGTCTAGAAATGTGCTCTGTTTTAATGGTGTCTAGAAATGTGCTCTGTTGTAATGGTGTCTAGAAATGTGCTCTGTTGTAATGGTGTCTAGAAATGTGCTCTGTTGTAATGGTGTCTAGAAATGTGCTCAGTTTTAATGGTGTCTAGAAATGTGCTCTGTTGTAATGGTGTCTAGAAATGTGCTCTGTTGTAATGGTGTCTAGAAATGTGCTCTGTTGTAATGGTGTCTAGAAATGTGCTCTGTTTTAGGCGATGCCTCGGGTATGTCACAGATCTCCTTAGCTGACTTGTTCCGAACAGTTAATCTACACAGTGCCAAAGCTGGAATGGTGGATACTGCAACAGACACACCTAAACATCCTGTATTTGGAAGGTAGCTGTTGTTTTATTATACTGCGTAGTTTTTAGTAAGGATTTACATGTGATTTTAGTTGTTTTCATTAATTGTTCAAAAGCATGAATAATTAAAAAACAATATTTGTTGTTTGTTTGTTTTTTTTTGTTGATATTGTTGTGATACCAAGCTCAATTATCTTAATTTGTACCCAAAAAATGCCATTTTATGAAAACTGTTTGTTATTAAATGGATATCAGTATAAAGCTCTGTTCCTGAAGCGAGCAATGCTAACTGTAATTATTAGTCAAACATAGCTCTCATGGAATGTCATTTGCTGTATTTCCTTCCATTTAAATGCATGGTGGACAATGGGAAGTGGCCTTAATTGGTCTTCATCTCAAGCTAGTCACTAGTTTTATAATATTTAAATCTGTTTCTTTTTCTTACTGGTGAAAATTAGTTTTGTTTGAAGAATTATTTTTCTTTGAACTTGAGCTTTTGGTGTAACACAGGGGTCTCCAAACCGCGGGCCAGATGAGGCCAGAGAGGTCCTCTAATCCGGTCCGCGGCGATCTTTTTGTCGCTGAATAAATGTTTGTTAGAGGTGGCTGAGAAACTATGCCCAGAAAATTCAAAACAATTTGAAAATGTGGCTTTGGGTGCAAATATCATTGCCCGCCGGGTTGCAGACAACTGTGAAAACATCGTGACTCAAATAGCGAAAATACAAGCAAGTTTGGCAATTTTTTAATTGTAATGGATCAGATGCTGGACAGCTGTTCCACATCTCAACTGCTTATGTTCATTAGAGGTGTGGATGAAGACATAAACATAACACAAGAGCTGGCTTCACTACATAGAATGTATGGCACTGTTACCGGAGAGAATATTGATAGTTCAGAGACATGTTAAAAGATAGAAACACAGAATCGCAAAATTTACCATATTTCACAGCAGTAAGATGGCTAATTTGCGAGAAATTTTTCTGAGCAGAGTATTTGAGTTAAGAAAGGAAATAAGGGACTTCCTTGAAAGTAAAGGCAAGCCACAAGCTGATGTACTTAATGTCTGATGAAGAGTGGGTATAAAAATTGGCCTCTGCTGCAAACATAACTAGTCATTTAAATTTTCTGAACCTAAAACTACAAGAGATGGAAATTTAGTTTCTGATCTATACAACCACCCAAAGGCTTTCAGATCTCAAATTGTCATGTTTTTGGAACAAGTACAAGCCAACAACTTACACACTCTCAGTAGTGCAAGGTCTTTAGGCTGAAGCAACCACTGTTCCCAAAGTCATTTGCATACGAGCTCATCAAAGACTTTAAGCTGCAGTTTCAGTAGTGGTTTTTTGACTTGGATTCAAAGGCAGAAAAAAGTGAGACTGTTTCAAAACGCATTTGAAGCAAATGTGGCCTGCTGCCCAGATGAACTGCAGCTGGACGTCATTAGAGACATGGTCAAAGAAGGGAAGGTTTTTATAAGTTTTTGCAAAAGCAAGATTTTCCTAATATTAAAACTTTCACATCAAAGTACCTTTCAAATTTTGGAACAAGATACCTGTGTGAACAAATATTTTCAAGATTGAAATATGCGAAGAACAATTTGAGAGCAAACTTGGACCTCGAGTGTGATTTTGGCCACCGACAGTGCTTCTTTCAGACTTTTTCCTCGGGGGGGGGGGGGGCAACGACACTTGAAATTTTTATATATTTCTATATAAATTATATTTCGTTAAGGGGGGAACGGTACACCCCGAAGAGATGTCTTGAAGAGACTCTGGCCCCTGAACTGATATTTGATAGTTAAATAATGCGGCCCTCGGGCTGAAAAGTTTGGAGACCCTTGTTGTAACACAACAGTTTTATAATTAAACTTGTGATGTGTAGCTTTCTGCTCCAATATCTACCCAGCCTATCACTACTATCAGACTAAATAACAAAAAATGACAAGATTGCAACCACATACTACTAATGATTTAAATCAATGAACTTGGTGCCTAGTCTGTTTCTAGAAATATATAGAAAGAAAAGTAGGTCTAGTGAGTGGCTGGTTGTTCAACCATCCTAAATACTGCAAGTCTATATCTAATACATGCACATTTAGGCAAGTCTGTATCTAATACATGCACATTTAGGTATGCTTTACTAAGGGAAAAAATTGTTTGTTCTTGCTATTGAATAAAAGCATAATAATTTAAGGATCTTTGCACATTTATTTTATTTGGTGGAAAATGTGTGATCTAATTCTAAAGAAACATAAGCCACCATAAATAACAGTTTAAATAACACACCTTTGTAAGTCATGACTTGTCAGAAATGGGGGGGGGGGGGGCTGTCAACCAATGACAGCCACACAAAATGTTAATGGACTTATCCAGATGGATGAATGTCTTGTATTAGTACAGGTCACACACCACCAAACTCATTGCTGTATGCCTAGTTTAAACTCCTACAAATGTCCTGACTGCCTGTCTAGTTTAAACTCCTACAAATGTCCTGACTGCCTGTCTAGTTTAAACTCCTACAAATGTCCTGACTGCCTGTCTAGTTTAAACTCCTACAAATGTCCTGACTGCCTGTCTAGTTTAAACTCCTGCAAATGTCCTGACTGCCTGTCTAGTTTAAACTTAAGTGATGCCTTTTCTCAGATCCTTGTCAGTAGCAGAGGTTGAGGCCCAGCCTGTAGATAACAGACATCCAATACTCAAACTGATTTCATCTAAAACAGTGGAGGAAATAGAGAAACAGCATATAGAGGAGGAGCACAAGAGATTAAAGGTACATCTACATTTGTATTTGTTCATGTTTAACCTTTGGCTTTTACTTGCAGCCCTAAGTTGGTTTTATGTGTGAGCATCAACATCCTTTTACTTAACTAGCATTACACTGTGTCCTATTGGGTATTTGATGTGAACTGTACCTCTGATGAATGTCTTGATGTATAGAGAGACAATGTGAGAACCTTGTAACCTCCCCAGGGAGGTGGAGGAAGTGCTGGTAACTCTGGCCACTCACCAGGTGGACACCAGACTGAAGGTGGCATTGATCTGATGCAGCTCTTGCGGCAAGGTGCAGCCAAGCAGTCCATCAAGTCACTGGGTGTTGAAGGGGACAGTGGGGATAAGGGCAGCAGTCTGACATCAGATGGGGCAGCGGCTGTGAAAAAACTCATTAACATGCAAGGTGAGAGGTAACCACATATTGACCGGTCATGTTGTCTAGTTGATGCCATAGTATATCTATAACTCCTTTACATTGAACTGACCAAGTAGATGAAACTAATTGAACTGTTGTTGAATCTGAAGACCCCAAATTTGGCACCAACAGAGGATTTATACCAGTGGCCGCAGCCAGCCAGTGTGAGAGCTACCCTGCCATGCCAGACGCCCCATTGGCTGAGGACATCCATGGAGACAAGAAGAAAGACAACTCTGCTTTATTTCCTATCATGCTCAAACCCAGCGACCTGGATCCAAGTCTTGGAAAATCTAAATCGGTACTCACCCACATTAGACCATTAGTTTAGCTGCTACATTGTTAGGTCTTATTGGAGTTGTTTACAAACTTGACTTAGCTAGACTTGGCCAATTTAAAAAATGTAAGGGCAAAGACTAAGGGAAGTAATGACTGGGTGCCATTGATTCTACAATTATAAACAGTATACTAGTTATAAAAGCTGTTAAACATTCATCAACATGAGTACATAATAAATTTAATGGGGGAAATAGTTAAAGTTTTATGAATGTCTAGTTTTCACCTAACTTATTATTTCTACATGGAGAACTTATTATCTTCTGTAATGTTTATAATTGTTCTAAGTGTCTCAAAAATTAGAAGTTAAGAATTATAAAAGCTAAAAAGTTAAAAGTGTAGTCCTAGGTCTTAAATTATTCTGTTAACATTTTTCAATAGCTAGTTGTGTTAAACTATTACACTATGTACTTGTGTTAAAGGTGTGCAATATTTGATAGTGTTGAAATTATACAATAGCTAGTTGTGTTAAAATTGTGCTATATATGGTAGTGTTAAAACTGTACAATAGCTCGTTGTGTTACAATTGTGCTATAGCTAGTTGTGTTAAAATTGTGCTATAGCTAGTTGTGTTAAAATTGTACACTAGCTAGTGGTGTTAAAATTGTGCTATAGCTAGTTGTGTTAAAATTGTGCTAAAGCTATTTGTGTTAAAATTGTGCTATAGCTAGTTGTGTTAAAATTGTGCTATAGCTAGTTGTGTTAAAATTGTACACTAGCTAGTTGTGTTAAAATTGTACACTAACTAGTTGTGTTAAAATTGTGCTATAGCTAGTTGTGTTAAAATTACTCAACAAATCCTATTTGTTACAGCCTCCAGCCTTTACAGCCCTGCTGACCCCACAAGCTTTTTTAGGTAAGTCTACATGATGTCACCCATAGATTTAACTTTGGTAGGTACATGATGCCACCCATAGATTTAACTTTGGTAGGTACATGATGCCACCCATAGATTTAACTTTGGTAGGTACATGATGCCACCCATAGATTTAACTTTGGTAGGTATATGATGCCACCCATAGATTTAACTTTGGTAGGTACATGATGCCACCCATAGATTTAACTTTGGTAGGTACATGATGACAGCCATAGATTTAACTTTGGTAGGTACATGATGCCACCCATAGATTTAACTTTTGTAGGTACATGATGCCACCCATAGATTTAACTTTGGTAGGTACATGATGCCACCCATAGATTTAACTTTGGTAGGTATATGATGCCACCCATAGATTTAACTTTGGTAGGTAGATATTGACACCCATAGATTTAACTTTGGTAGGTACATGATGCCACCCGTAGATTTAACTGTGGTAGGTACATGATGCCACCCATAGATTTAACTTTGGTAGGTACATGATGCCACCCATAGATTTAACTTTGGTAGGTACATGATGACAGCCATAGATTTAACTTTGGTAGGTACATGATGCCACCCGTAGATTTAACTGTGGTAGGTACATGATGCCACCCATAGATTTAACTTTTGTAGGTATATGATGCCACCCGTAGATTTAACTTTGGTTACTTAGGCTGTCTGTGGTAGACTAGGTAGATGATGCCACCCATAGATTTAACTTTGGTTGGTACATGATGCCACCCATAGATTTAACTTTGGTAGGTACATGATGCCACCCATAGATTTAACTTTGGTAGGTACATGATACAACCCATAGATTTAACTTTGGTACATGATGCCACCCATAGATTTAACTTTGGTAGGTACATGATGTCACCCATAGATTTAACTTTGGTAGGTACATGATGCCACCCATAGATTTAACTTTGGTAGGTACATGATGCCACCCATAGATTTAACTTTGGTAGGTACATGATGCCACCCATAGATTTAACTTTGGTAGGTACATGATGCCACCCGTAGATTTAACTTTGGTAGGTACATGATGCCACCCATAGATTTAACTTTGGTAGGTACATGATGCCACCCGTAGATTTAACTTTGGTAGGTACATGATGCCACCCATAGATTTAACTTTGGTAGGTACATGATGCCACCCATAGATTTAACTTTGATAGGTACATGATGCCACCCATAGATTTAACTTTGGTAGGTATATGATGCCACCCATAGATTTAACTTTGGTAGGTACATGGTGCCACCCATAGATTTAACTTTGGTAGGTACATGATGCCACCCATAGATTTAACTTTGGTAGGTACATGATGCCACCCATAGATTTAACTTTGGTAGGTACATGATGCCACCCATAGATTTAACTTTGGTAGGTACATGATGCCACCCATAGATTTAACTTTGGTAGGTACATGATGCCACCCATAGATTTAACTTTGGTAGGTACATGATGCCACCCATAGATTTAACTTTGGTAGGTACATGATGCCACCCATAGATTTAACTTTGGTAGGTATATGATGCCACCCATAGATTTAACTTTGGTAGGTATATGATGCCACCCATAGATTTAACTTTGGTAGGTACATGATGTCACCCATAGATTTAACTTTGGTAGGTACATGATGCCACCCATAGATTTAACTTTGGTAGGTATATGATGCCACCCATAGATTTAACTTTGGTAGGTACATGATGCCACCCATAGATTTAACTTTGGTAGGTACATGATGACAGCCATAGATTTAACTTTGGTAGGTACATGATGCCACCCATAGATTTAACTTTGGTTGGTACATGATGCCACCCATAGATTTAACTTTGGTAGGTACATGATGCCACCCATAGATTTAACTTTGGTAGGTACATGATGCCACCCATAGATTTAACTTTGGTAGGTACATGATGCCACCCATAGATTTAACTTTGGTAGGTACATGGTGCCACCCATAGATTTAACTTTGGTAGGTACATGGTGCCACCCATAGATTTAACTTTGGTAGGTACATGATGCCACCCATAGATTTAACTTTGGTAGGCACATGATGCCACCCATAGATTTAACTTTGGTAGGTACATGATGCCACCCATAGATTTAACTTTGGTAGGTAGATGATGCCACCCATAGATTTAACTTTGGTAGGTACATGATGCCACCCATAGATTTAACTTTGGTAGGTACATGATGCCACCCATAGATTTAACTTTGGTAGGTACATGATGCCACCCATAGATTTAACTTTGGTAGGTATATGATGCCACCCATAGATTTAACTTTGGTAGGTATATGATGCCACCCATAGATTTAACTTTGGTAGGTACATGATGCCACCCATAGATTTAACTTTGGTAGGTACATGATGCCACCCATAGATTTAACTTTGGTAGGTACATGATGCCACCCATAGATTTAACTTTGGTAGGTACATGATGCCACCCATAGATTTAACTTTGGTACATGATGCCACCCATAGATTTAACTTTGGTAGGTACATGATGCCACCCATAGATTTAACTTTGGTAGGTACATGATGCCACCCATAGATTTAACTTTGGTACATGATGCCACCCATAGATTTAACTTTGGTAGGTACATGATGTCACCCATAGATTTAACTTTGGTAGGTACATGATGCCACCCATAGATTTAACTTTGGTAGGTATATGATGCCACCCATAGATTTAACTTTGGTAGGTACATGATGCCACCCATAGATTTAACTTTGGTAGGTACATGATGCCACCCATAGATTTAACTTTGGTAGGTATATGATGCCACCCATAGATTTAACTTTGGTAGGTACATGATGCCACCCATAGATTTAACTTTGGTAGGTACATGATGCCACCCATAGATTTAACTTTGGTAGGTACATGATGACAGCCATAGATTTAACTTTGGTACATGATGCCACCCATAGATTTAACTTTGGTAGGTACATGATGCCACCCATAGATTTAACTTTGGTAGGTATATGATGCCACCCATAGATTTAACTTTGGTAGGTATATGATGCCACCCATAGATTTAACTTTGGTAGGTACATGATGCCACCCATAGATTTAACTTTGGTAGGTACATGATGCCACCCATAGATTTAACTTTGGTAGGTATATGATGCCACCCATAGATTTATCTTTGGTAGGTACATGATGCCACCCATAGATTTAACTTTGGTAGGTACATGATGCCACCCATAGATTTAACTTTGGTAGGTACATGATGCCACCCATAGATTTAACTTTGGTAGGTACATGATGACAGCCATAGATTTAACTTTGGTACATGATGCCACCCATAGATTTAACTTTGGTAGGTACATGATGCCACCCGTAGATTTAACTGTGGTAGGTACATGATGCCACCCATAGATTTAACTTTTGTAGGTATATGATGCCACCCGTAGATTTAACTTTGGTTACTTAGGCTGTCTGTGGTAGACTAGGTAGATGATGCCACCCATAGATTTAACTTTGGTTGGTACATGATGCCACCCATAGATTTAACTTTGGTAGGTACATGATGCCACCCATAGATTTAACTTTGGTAGGTACATGATGCCACCCATAGATTTAACTTTGGTTGGTACATGATGCCACCCATAGATTTAACTTTGGTTGGTACATGATGCCACCCATAGATTTAACTTTGGTAGGTACATGATGCCACCCATAGATTTAACTTTGGTAGGTATATGATGCCACCCATAGATTTAACTTTGGTAGGTACATGATGCCACCCATAGATTTAACTTTGGTAGGTACATGATGCCACCCATAGATTTAACTTTGGTAGGTATATGATGCCACCCATAGATTTAACTTTGGTAGGTACATGATGCCACCCATAGATTTAACTTTGGTAGGTACATGATGCCACCCATAGATTTAACTTTGGTTGGTACATGATGCCACCCATAGATTTAACTTTGGTAGGTACATGATGCCACCCATAGATTTAACTTTGGTAGGTATATGATGCCACCCATAGATTTAACTTTGGTAGGTACATGATGCCACCCATAGATTTAACTTTGGTAGGTACATGATGCCACCCATAGATTTAACTTTGGTAGGTACATGATGCCACCCATAGATTTAACTTTCGTAGGTACATGATGCCACCCATAGATTTAACTTTGGTAGGTACATGATGACAGCCATAGATTTAACTTTGGTAGGTACATGATGCCACCCATAGATTTAACTTTGGTAGGTACATGATGCCACCCATAGATTTAACTTTGGTAGGTACATGATGCCACCCATAGATTTAACTTTGGTAGGTACATGATGCCACCCATAGATTTAACTTTGGTTGGTACATGATGCCACCCATAGATTTAACTTTGGTAGGTACATGATGCCACCCATAGATTTAACTTTGGTAGGTACATGATGCCACCCATAGATTTAACTTTGGTAGGTACATGATGCCACCCATAGATTTAACTTTGGTAGGTACATGATGCCACCCATAGATTTAACTTTGGTAGGTATATGATGCCACCCATAGATTTAACTTTGGTAGGTATATGATGTCACCCATAGATTTAACTTTGGTAGGTACATGATGCCACCCATAGATTTAACTTTGGTAGGTACATGATGCCACCCATAGATTTAACTTTGGTTGGTACATGATGCCACCCATAGATTTAACTTTGGTAGGTACATGATGCCACCCATAGATTTAACTTTGGTAGGTACATGATGCCACCCATAGATTTAACTTTGGTAGGTACATGATGCCACCCATAGATTTAACTTTGGTAGGTACATGATGCCACCCATAGATTTAACTTTGGTAGGTACATGGTGCCACCCATAGATTTAACTTTGGTAGGTACATGGTGCCACCCATAGATTTAACTTTGGTAGGTACATGATGCCACCCATAGATTTAACTTTGGTAGGCACATGATGCCACCCATAGATTTAACTTTGGTAGGTACATGATGCCACCCATAGATTTAACTTTGGTAGGTAGATGATGCCACCCATAGATTTAACTTTGGTAGGTACATGATGCCACCCATAGATTTAACTTTGGTAGGTACATGATGCCACCCATAGATTTAACTTTGGTAGGTACATGATGCCACCCATAGATTTAACTTTGGTAGGTATATGATGCCACCCATAGATTTAACTTTGGTAGGTATATGATGCCACCCATAGATTTAACTTTGGTAGGTACATGATGCCACCCATAGATTTAACTTTGGTAGGTACATGATGCCACCCATAGATTTAACTTTGGTAGGTACATGATGCCACCCATAGATTTAACTTTGGTAGGTACATGATGCCACCCATAGATTTAACTTTGGTACATGATGCCACCCATAGATTTAACTTTGGTAGGTACATGATGCCACCCATAGATTTAACTTTGGTAGGTACATGATGCCACCCATAGATTTAACTTTGGTACATGATGCCACCCATAGATTTAACTTTGGTAGGTACATGATGTCACCCATAGATTTAACTTTGGTAGGTACATGATGCCACCCATAGATTTAACTTTGGTAGGTATATGATGCCACCCATAGATTTAACTTTGGTAGGTACATGATGCCACCCATAGATTTAACTTTGGTAGGTACATGATGCCACCCATAGATTTAACTTTGGTAGGTATATGATGCCACCCATAGATTTAACTTTGGTAGGTACATGATGCCACCCATAGATTTAACTTTGGTAGGTACATGATGCCACCCATAGATTTAACTTTGGTAGGTACATGATGACAGCCATAGATTTAACTTTGGTACATGATGCCACCCATAGATTTAACTTTGGTAGGTACATGATGCCACCCATAGATTTAACTTTGGTAGGTATATGATGCCACCCATAGATTTAACTTTGGTAGGTATATGATGCCACCCATAGATTTAACTTTGGTAGGTACATGATGCCACCCATAGATTTAACTTTGGTAGGTACATGATGCCACCCATAGATTTAACTTTGGTAGGTATATGATGCCACCCATAGATTTATCTTTGGTAGGTACATGATGCCACCCATAGATTTAACTTTGGTAGGTACATGATGCCACCCATAGATTTAACTTTGGTAGGTACATGATGCCACCCATAGATTTAACTTTGGTAGGTACATGATGACAGCCATAGATTTAACTTTGGTACATGATGCCACCCATAGATTTAACTTTGGTAGGTACATGATGCCACCCGTAGATTTAACTGTGGTAGGTACATGATGCCACCCATAGATTTAACTTTTGTAGGTATATGATGCCACCCGTAGATTTAACTTTGGTTACTTAGGCTGTCTGTGGTAGACTAGGTAGATGATGCCACCCATAGATTTAACTTTGGTTGGTACATGATGCCACCCATAGATTTAACTTTGGTAGGTACATGATGCCACCCATAGATTTAACTTTGGTAGGTACATGATGCCACCCATAGATTTAACTTTGGTTGGTACATGATGCCACCCATAGATTTAACTTTGGTTGGTACATGATGCCACCCATAGATTTAACTTTGGTAGGTACATGATGCCACCCATAGATTTAACTTTGGTAGGTATATGATGCCACCCATAGATTTAACTTTGGTAGGTACATGATGCCACCCATAGATTTAACTTTGGTAGGTACATGATGCCACCCATAGATTTAACTTTGGTAGGTATATGATGCCACCCATAGATTTAACTTTGGTAGGTACATGATGCCACCCATAGATTTAACTTTGGTAGGTACATGATGCCACCCATAGATTTAACTTTGGTTGGTACATGATGCCACCCATAGATTTAACTTTGGTAGGTACATGATGCCACCCATAGATTTAACTTTGGTAGGTATATGATGCCACCCATAGATTTAACTTTGGTAGGTACATGATGCCACCCATAGATTTAACTTTGGTAGGTACATGATGCCACCCATAGATTTAACTTTGGTAGGTACATGATGCCACCCATAGATTTAACTTTCGTAGGTACATGATGCCACCCATAGATTTAACTTTGGTAGGTACATGATGACAGCCATAGATTTAACTTTGGTAGGTACATGATGCCACCCATAGATTTAACTTTGGTAGGTACATGATGCCACCCATAGATTTAACTTTGGTAGGTACATGATGCCACCCATAGATTTAACTTTGGTAGGTACATGATGCCACCCATAGATTTAACTTTGGTTGGTACATGATGCCACCCATAGATTTAACTTTGGTAGGTACATGATGCCACCCATAGATTTAACTTTGGTAGGTACATGATGCCACCCATAGATTTAACTTTGGTAGGTACATGATGCCACCCATAGATTTAACTTTGGTAGGTACATGATGCCACCCATAGATTTAACTTTGGTAGGTATATGATGCCACCCATAGATTTAACTTTGGTAGGTATATGATGTCACCCATAGATTTAACTTTGGTAGGTACATGATGCCACCCATAGATTTAACTTTGGTAGGTACATGATGCCACCCATAGATTTAACTTTGGTAGGTACATGATGCCACCCATAGATTTAACTTTGGTAGGTACATGATGCCACCCATAGATTTAACTTTGGTAGGTACATGATGCCACCCATAGATTTAACTTTGGTAGGTATATGATGCCACCCATAGATTTAACTTTGGTAGGTATATGATGTCACCCATAGATTTAACTTTGGTAGGTACATGATGCCACCCATAGATTTAACTTTGGTAGGTACATGATGCCACCCATAGATTTAACTTTGGTAGGTACATGGTGCCACCCATAGATTTAACTTTGGTAGGTATATGATGCCACCCATAGATTTAACTTTGGTACATGATGCCACCCATAGATTTAACTTTGGTAGGTACATGATGCCACCCATAGATTTAACTTTGGTAGGTACATGATGCCACCCATAGATTTAACTTTTGTAGGTATATGATGCCACCCATAGATTTAACTTTGGTAGGTAGATGATGACACCCATAGATTTAACTTTGGTAGGTACATGATGCCACCCGTAGATTTAACTGTGGTAGGTACATGATGCCACCCATAGATTTAACTTTGGTAGGTACATGATGCCACCCATAGATTTAACTTTGGTAGGTACATGATGACAGCCATAGATTTAACTTTGGTACATGATGCCACCCATAGATTTAACTTTGGTAGGTACATGATGCCACCCATAGATTTAACTGTGGTAGGTACATGATGCCACCCATAGATTTAACTTTTGTAGGTATATGATGCCACCCGTAGATTTAACTTTGGTTACTTAGGCTGTCTGTGGTAGACTAGGTAGATGATGCCACCCATAGATTTAACTTTGGTAGGTACATGATGCCACCCATAGATTTAACTTTGGTAGGTACATGATGCCACCCATAGATTTAACTTTGGTAGGTACATGATGACACACATAGATTTAACTTTGGTAGGTATATGATGCCACCCATAGATTTAACTTTGGTAGGTACATGATGCCACCCATAGATTTAACTTTGGTAGGTACATGATGTCACCCATAGATTTGCTGAGTTGTAATTACACCACTGATTAAGCCCGTAACAACATATCAAACTATATTTTTTATTTAAGTTTAATATCTTAATTTTTCTCAAGTACATTTTGTGATTTTTAATAAATTTGCAAGCAATAAACATATTGTTACAAATTTTCAAATTAAGGTTGCTAGGTGTTATCTCCCTTATCTTAGTAACTTAGATTTTATTGATAGGAGTCAGACATGAAACATTGTTAAAGCTTTAATCCAAGTTGACCATTATTTGAAAGCTTTGATGACTTCAACTGTTGTATGTCTTAGATCGCCCTTTCCAAGATGCCATGACTCCACCACCCTCGTCAGGTCTAGCTCCACTCACTAGAGACCAGCTCCAACAGGCTATGTTACATCTTATTAAAGTAATTTACAGTTTGCTCATTTTAAAACAACAGGCTATGTTACATCTTATCAAAGTAATTTACAGTTTGCTCATTTTAAAACAATCAACAATTTAATAGTGTTGCATCTTACAACTGTAGTATATTACTTCTAGATAGAAAATTGACTTTTAAAAAAAAATATTAAAAATTAATTTGATAATTTACAGCCTGTTCTGCAGCAACTGACATTTTACTCCTCCACAGAATGATAGTAATTTTGTGAGCACACTACATGCTGCGTACTTAGAGAGTTTTCATGCTGCCACTGGCAACAAGTTGTAGCACAGGTCAGGTTGCAACATATAGGCCTACATCACCATCTGGTCAACCTACCTTCACTGTTGGGTCATCACACTGGTCACCCAGCTGGTGATCAGGACTAAATTGGTAGAGCTCCATCTTTAATTTATTGGACTAGCAGTCTCAGTACCACAGTTGTGTTCAGGTGCCATACAGCATTCAGTGGTGTGGTCAGGTTGCCTGGGCTCACGCAACATTTTTATTGTCACAGCTGGAACACTTTTTATACAAACACTAAAGAGGTGCCATTTTACCCTTGCATAGAACAATAGAATAACAAATGTGTTTTCATGGAATTGTCGGGATACCTGTGTAAGATAAGTTCATTTTGTCAGTCATGTGAGTGATTAGTGCAATTATTTCTGTCTTTGTGAGTGATGGTGCAAGTAATTCTGACTGTGAGTGATTGGTGCAACTTATGCCATTCATGTGAGTGATTAATGCAACACATAATGTGTGACTATTGGTGCAACAGGTTCTGTGTGATTTGTGCTATAAGTTCTGTTTGGTGTATGATTTGTGCTACAAGTTCTGTTTGGTGTGTGATTTGTGCTACAAGTTCTGTTTGGTGTGTGATTGTTGCTACATGCTCTGTGTGATTAGTGCAACAAGTTCTTTTTGTGTGATTGGTGCTACAAGTTCTGTGTGATTGGTGCATGGTACTGGGTTAACGTCAATGAAATTTTTTTAAACTGGTGTTACAATATCAACATTGATGTGTAACTAATGCATTTGTTGCTGTTGAAACCTACTGCTATTCAGTGTAAGGGTCTTGAGCTTAACCCCTTCTGGCTCTGTGATATTGTTGAAAGGTTCATCAATGTTAAGCACAGTCTTCATGGGGAGAATATTATTTATATGAATGTAAAGTTGCGGAATTAAATTTTACAAATGTTTACCATGTTGTGATTTGTGCCAATAAATGTCATGTAGTCAATTTCTATCTGTGTTTTTGTGGAATTTTATTTTGTTTTCTCAAATCTCAGGAAAGTTTTGAGAAAAATGTTTGAATAGCAGTAATAGAGCAAGAATTCAACATCAGTCTTAATATAGGATTTGCATTAAAACTAGATAACACATGATTTATTTATGGGATAACTGTCTAATCTTTTAGCCCACTGTTCACTTATTTCTAGTGGAGTGACTTCTTATAATAAGTGTGTCTCTTATAATTCAGTGTAATCTGGTTTTTAAGTAAACAGACATTGCTGTTAATAAAGTAAACTACTGTAAAGTAAACTATTATTTAATAAGTGGTTGGCTGTGGAAGCTGGTATACAAGAATGTTTACCATCTTCTGTGAGAGGAGGTAGATAAAGCTGTTGACTAAAGCTACCATAGGCCACTGATTGGTTTTAACCCTTTATCTACTGACGGTACTTATAAGTACCACTTTAATTAAGTGCCTGTATTATATTAAATTAAATACGAATTTTAAAAATTATTGATGTATTTTATAGTATTATCTCCCCTGAGTCGCCGGTAGTCGGAGGTATCAGTGTTTTTTTGAAAATTACTGGTGTGGCGCTATTTTCAATGTCTTGCTATATCGGTAGTTCACAATTTTTCTGTACATTTCTCACATACGTTCTTGATTTCCCTTTGTTTTACCTTTTTTTCAAGTTTTCAACCCCAAATATTTTTTATTGGCACCTTCAATAGTCAGGCAAACGCGTTTAACTTCTAGTTATACAATTTTAATCAAATTGTCTTTGTATTAGATCGATGTTTACAAGTGGACTTATAAGTACCGTCAGGGCACACGGTCATTTTTTTTAGGATTTTTTGAAAATTGCAGATTTGTTAGGTGGAGTTACATAAATATTGTCTTGATAATTACTTATCGAAATGTACTCAAAAATGATATTTACACATTTATAAGAAGGTTTGCATATGGTTTACCTAAGAAATATTGTAATTACATGTTCATTGCTAGTAGTAAAAAAATAACAAAAATAAAGATATCAGTTGCAGGCTCGTTTATAAGGTTTAGTATACTTCATTTGTATACCAAAGCCTAGTTCAGGTTGTAAGATTTAATTTGTTAGTTATATTTACTGCAATAAACTGTCTTGCCTACAACAACTAGCATTTACATAATGTAAACCTGTAGACTAGTAATAGTCCATACTTCTGCATATAGTATAGATCTATAAGGTAAATTTTAATCAGTAAACAGAAAAGAGTAATCCACTACTTCTTCCAAAACACATTGAGCTCAATTCTATTTATGAACTTTGCACTGTAGTGTAGACTTGTCATAACATTATAGTAGGCTATAATTATATTAGTATTTCTAGTAGTTGTGTGCTGAATGACTAGGCTTTTGTTTGTTTATGCGGCTGATTGTACTAGTTATTGGAAGCTTCCAGCAAAAGCATATTCATTCCGGCAACCGTTGCAACACTAGAAAGACCACAGACAAGATTGAGGGAGCATGACATGACGACTACTTTTGCTGTGTTTGAGGTCTAAGATGTGTTCCGATAGAAAATCCAGTAAAAATCGTACTCAAAATATACTTTTGTGCTGTATTTATGTGTGAAAATTACAAAAAGTGATTGTTATAATGATTGCCATGTTATTAGTTAATAAATTGTATCGTTTGTTCCTGTTTTGTAAAAAAAAAATTTTTGAAAAAAAAATGTCCTAGTTTACTGACGGTACTTATAAGTACCAATATCTGTTTGGGCCATTAAAAATTTATGAAACGAAATTTCCTTCGATACATGCTTTGAATGTGCCAAAAGCAATATAGTAACACATTGTTTAAGTAAAAATCTCATTCAGAACATAATTCCGTAAATAAAGGGTTAAAGTAAATTTAAAGCAATTAGTCAGGGTGTCCAGCTTACATCAGAAAGCTCTGAAAGGAGAGAATCAAAATGGTAGGTACTAGAAGCTAGATCTAGATCTATTACTTATTACACTTTGCAATTCTTAGATATTGTAAAGTAGGTAGGAAAAAATTATAAAAACCAATAGAATCTATATAAATTATATTATAAGCTTTTAAAAGAACTAAAACTATAGAATCAATTTATTTATAAGAATAAACTTATAAAGATTATAATTAGGTCTGGGTGATCTCTTATTAATTTTTTTAGAACATTTTTATTGACAAATTAATTATATTACTATTAGAATTTATTACATTAGATTTTGATTGTTCTATTTCTTTTTATAGTTAAGTGCATTTTTAAATAATTGTTCAGGTGGGGTTTTTTTTATTAATAATGCCCTCTCTATAAAAGTATTGAGTGACTCAATTCTGGTCAAAAAATCTTGCAATAATTTATTATATCATTAAATAATAAAGAAAAATAGTAAAATTTAAAAAAAAAAATTAGGCCTATGCTATATATAATTTATCTAAATCTCGCTAATCTCCGTGTAAACTCACTTATAATTCGTAATTTCTGATTTTGGTAACCCTGATTTTTTTAAAAACTGAAATTAAATAATTACCTTTTGAATTTTTACATATAGAATTAAAGATCTAGATCTATATAGAATCTACCTTAAAAATAATTTAAAATGTCCAACATAAATGGAAAATAACTTTGGAGCTTCTATTGTTTGTATTTCTGAGAGTAGCCTCCCTTTGATCGATGTATTCAAAAAGTGGATGAGGGCGTTTTTATTGAACGAAATGACATGTCACTAAAATAAATGTTCTGAGCTCTATTCGATAAGAGCCAAGTCAGGAACTGCCCTACATTTTGATGACATGACCTGCCTGGCCTACTTTTCTCTACATGGTGCCTCACGTCCATGTGCAGTTCTTACTTTTTCATTACACTGAGCTGTCATGTGACACTTTGTAATTGACAGAAGAAATGGAAGCCTTGATAGCTGTCCTAACGTACTTGGGTTTTTGTAAATCTACCGTGTGGTCCGAGATTTTATAAGTTTTCATTGGTGATAAGAGAAGGGAGTATTTTACAGACTGGGACATTGTTGACAAAAACGTCAATTTTTATCGTTTGTTGTTAGACAAAACGTCATTTTTTGTCTCTTACTTATACGATTGTTGGGAGAAATGTCAGTTGTAAAAAATAAACACAAACCACACATAAATTGAGGATGTAGTTAACATTTGTTTAATGTTAAATCTTGCAAGCCAGACTGTGTTGTTATGTTAAATCTTGCAAGCCAGACTGTGTTGTTATGTTAAATCTTCTGCCGGTTTATATGCTATGTTCTGTCCAGTTCAATCTTACAATATACAGATTGTGTTCTACAGTCTTGTTATTATTTCATTCCGCTGTAGCGCTAAACGGCCATTGAAATTGTCTGCCTTTGATCTCCACAACACGTCGCAGTATTTCCACCAAGTTGAAACCTCACTAATCTCTTCACTACCCACAAGATCAGCCGACATGGATAAAAGGCTAATAGTAAAGGGGGGGGGGGGGGGTAGGAAAAGGTTGACCCACTAGAGGCCGACAACCAAACAATACACCCAATTGTTGAACGCCGTTTGTTGTAGGTCAGACTAGTGTATGATGCTGTTTACCAGACGATTGCATTGGTTGGGTTATATTATTAGCACACCGCAGTCACTGGGATTTACGTTTCTTCCAAATAGTTTGTTTTACCACAATACTATAACTATAGCATTAGCCGCGTATATATGTCTCATGGTAATCAATCCACACCACACATCAGTCTCAACAAGACTACGTTTTCACACCTATCTGGAGACATGAAGGTTTCCTCATAGGTCTGCTTGATTCCTACATAGGTATGCTTAATTCCTACATAGGTATGCTTAATTCATACAGAGAACTGCTTTATTCCTACATTGGTATGCTTGATTCCTACATAGATCTGCTTGATTCCTCCTTATGTCTGCTTGATTCCTACATTGGTATGCTTGATTCCTACATTGGTATGCTTGATTCCTACATTGGTATGCTTGATTCCTACATTGGTATGCTTGATTCCTACATAGATCCGCTTGATTCCTACATAGATCTGCTTGATTCCTCCTTATGTCTGCTTGATTCCTACATAGATCCGCTTGATTCCTACATTGGTCTGCTTGATTCCTACATTTGTCTGCTTGATTCCTACATTTGTCTGCTTGATTCCTACATTTGTCTGCTTGATTCCTACATTTGTCTGCTTGATTCCTACATTTGTCTGCTTGATTCCTACATTTGTCTGCTTGATTCCTACATTGGTATGCTTAATTCCTACATTTGTCTGCTTAATTCCTACATTTGTCTGCTTGATTCCTACATAGATCCGCTTGATTCCTACATTTGTCTGCTTGATTCCTACATTTGTCTGCTTGATTCCTACATTTGTCTGCTTGATTCCTACATTTGTCTGCTTGATTCCTACATTTGTCTGCTTGATTCCTACATTTGTCTGCTTGATCCCTACCCTACATTGGTCTGCTTGATTCCTACATTGGTATGCTTAATTCCTACCGACCAGGAAAAGAAATCGTGACAGCCATTAGGTCAGGATTTATCATGTAGGAGACGGCGTGTGTGTCCTCCCTGCCTACACCAAGATAGTTTAAATCCAGATGACATTTTTATACTAGACCCCCTTTGGCTTGAACTGTTCTCTGTTGTTGAACCGTTGTTTTAAAATAATGTTTCAACTTTTCTAACCCATTAGTAAGTTTTGCCAGCGACTTGGCTTTCTCAGCAAGCTTACGCTAATTAGCTCTAGCTTATGTTGTCTGCTGTAGGTAGCTATACACTGGCTAACTGGCTAGTTAGCTGCAGGTAGCCATACACTGGCTAACTGGCTTGTTAGCTGCAGGTAGTCATACACTAACTAACTGGCTAGTTAGCTGCAGGTAGCCATACACTGGCTAACTGGCTAGTTAGCTGCAGGTAGCTATACACTGGCTAGTTAGCTAGCCTAAAGCCACAGACCTGCTTTAGGTTTAGCCTGGGAGATTAGAAGCCAAACGTGA